ATGACCAGGAGCAAACAAGTATAAAAGGCTCCTAGTCTGCTTTTCACAAGTTCAGCTACTGCTTGCTGAAAGGCAAGAATGAGGCCCTTTGACTTCTGCTGGTGTTATCGAGGCGAAGTGCCCTGTGCAGAGAGGTATTAAACTTCCTTGAAGCCTGGAGTTAATGTAAAAGTTGGGCCTACAAAGAGGAGTGTTTCCCTTCATTCCCTTGTGGAAGGTGTGACCCTAAAGGCCCCTTGATGCCAACTGGTAAAGGGTTCACTGTCATATAATAGCATCTCCTATCAAGTCTGACAAACTCACTACACCTAACACATTGATATCATCGAATTTTATCCATAAAGAATGTCGTGTGAGGTATCATATGAGAGCTTATATCATACTGGTCATCATAAGCATTGTGAGAGGAATGTTCAGGTGCTATTCCAGAAGTCGCATGTATGTACTAAAAATATGTTTAAACTACGTTACCAAACTAGGTTGATAAACAAGGATTACCCAAACAAAGGAATGTTGATTTACCCATCTGCCTAGATCCCTGATGTAAATTAAGCAGGATATGCCAAACATAATGGGAGTTCAGTTGCATTTGAGGTACACAGGAAGAACAAGTTAACAGGAGGGTGAAAAAGCAGCATGGCACCAGCACACCAGAGCACAAGCATCAGGAAAGAATGAATTTATCTGGGGGTACACTTCAAAAGGATCCATTTCAAAGGTTTGCTGGACTATAAGAAGGGGGAAAAGAAGCCCTGGACAGTTATCTATCACTGTGGGAGCAAAAAGGACAGCACTTTTTTCATCTATGAAAGTTGGATCCTGGTCCTGGGGGCTGGTGCTGCTGAGAAGTTGCTTTAAGTGGACACTTACTTAGACATAGGTCTTGTCTTCACAACAGCACTAAACTATATAACAAAAGTCAATGTTAACTACATCGACTTACTTCAGTGTCTACACCGTGCTATGTCGACAGGAGATGCTCTCCCATCAACATAGCTTCCATCTCTCGTTGAAGTGGATTACAGAAGTCGATGGGAGAGCACTCTCCCATCAACTTAACATGTCTTATCCAGACTCGCTAAATCAATGCCGCTACACTGATCGCAGCAGCACCAATTTAGCCTGTAGTGAAGACAAGCCCATAGGTTTTAGCATGTTAAAAGTTATGATCGGTCTCTTAGAAATGTGTTATACTTTTGTTTTATATGTAATCAATGTCACTGTTGCCATTATTCCTACTCAATATTCACTTGAATATGTGAATCTCTGTTCTTTGCTAATAAACTTATTCTCCTTTTACAATAATGTCATCTCAGTACTGTGATATTAAATAGACTGTTCCTTCTCTGTTGAAGTAAGCTGGTGTTTATAGTATTTGGAGACAGTGGACTTAATAATTACTGAGTGTTCAGTGGTGGGCTGCACAATACAGGGGGAACACTTCTGGAGGAGTTGGAGAACTGGGATACACCAATTGTTTACTTGGAAGGCAAAGTAAGGGCTGGAAGAATGCTGAACGGTTTGCCTGGAATGGCTAACAGACTGGGGTGTCAGGAAGCTGTCATCCAGCTTACCACCAACAAATCTCTCTCTTGCTAAGGCAAGGGGTAACACGGTGACTTACAGTTATGGACATCCCGAGAAAGTGTCACAAAGGGGCCTGAGCGATGAGATACAGGCCTGAGAATGTTCAGAGGCCTTCATTTTACCTTCTGCAGTGAGAACTCCACTTATTCCCCAGTCAGTTTCTCTCCAATATAGAAACCTAGTACAACCAAGATGCCTTCAGCCAGAGCTACAGGCATCTTCCCCCGAGGCAGTGGCTTTCATCACCAATTCATTAGCATGGAAGGTGGCCCACACCTGCTGCACAGCCAGTCTATGCTTTATGTGCACAAGTTTCCTGGCATTAGTTCTGTGGAAGAGACTCAATCAGAGCAGAAAACGTCTTCCTGGTATTAAGCCATGATAAAGGCCACAAGCAGTGTAAATCTGACATTCACAGAATCTTAAGTGCTGAAGCTTTGGTGTTCAATACTGTGAGAGTGATGGTTTTTCCTGTAGCCATGGTTGGCATCACCAAGACCTCACACTCAAGGTGGGAGACGTAGGTGGTGGTTTCCATGGTGAGGATATATTTTTTTCTTCACAACAAAGCCAGATGTAGAAGTGCCTGTCACATCTTTTTCACTAGCTCATCTAAAATAGGGTGGAAGGCAACAGCACTCTATGGGAGAGGGAAATTCTGGCCCTGTAACATCTCAGTAACTACACGTGCAGATTTATGAGAACACCAGCAGAGCTGTTAACCTGATGTTTCTCCACAGCAGAAATATACTTGGCATCTATAGAATCCTCCAGCTCTTCTGCATCCAAGCTGTAGTCATCACCACCAACCTGATCCTCAGCCCACCCCCCACTCCCCTCCCCAGCTGGGTATAAATGGAAGGAACTGTCTGGTGATGGAGGAGCATGGGGTAGCCTACAGCATCATAAGTGCCTCAGGAAGCCCTGACAGGGACTGCATCAGAATCCATGGTACAAAAGATACAGGGGGTAGGAGAAGCTGGTGTTGAAGCCAGAGCTTAGTGACTGAGGGAAATAACTCCTGGGGTACAGGCACTAACCCCAGTGTAAAAAGCACTCCAAGTGTACTGAGAGCTCCCCTCACTTTCTGACACAGGGTGAGAAGGTTGCACTGATGTCAGTATTGAAGACTTTGTGGCAGCCTCTCACAGAACGAAGAGTGATTTGGCCTGAGAACACATTGATAATTCAGAATCACCATTTCCATACCATGGGACTGAGATGATAAATAGAGATGGTAGGGGGAAAATCTGGAGGCCTCATTACAAAGGTTTCTAAAGGGAGGTTTTAGCAGCAGCCGGTCAGAAAGAATAAGACCCTCTCTCTCAGTGCTTCTGCTCAACCTCTTCTTCAGACCTCTACAGATTATCTTAGTACCACCAACTTCAAGTACATAGCTTTGACTATGCAGGTGAAGGATCCAGTGCTTCCCGGGCAACAGCACAGAACCCATTTGGTGATGAAGCTACCTGACTGGGCTTAGCAGGACGAAAATGCATTGCACTAACCCAGCAGCACCTGCACTTGTCTCAGCACATAGTGGTATTGAGTAACTTGTGCTCATGGGTTTGCCCTTCAAAACACTCCAGGCTGATCTCATAAGGGACTTGTGGTAGTCTCTCTGCAGTACCTTGAGGAGGACTTGAAGATGTTTCCCATGTTTTCTAAGTGCTTAAGCCAACATTTGCAGCAAATCTAACACCTGTACAACTGGTAGGCCACTCCAAGGCAGATGGAGCAGAGCTATTTTAATAACTTAGATCTGACTGGAAGGCAGGGACATAGTAAAAGGTACCCTATGGTGCTTTGAAGCATCCAAAGAGAAGAGCTGGAGCAGCAATTGGGAGGTACAGCCTCTGCAGGGAGCTCTTTTACTGACCATGCTCAAGAAGGTAACTACCAGTCCTCAAAGGTTAGGCAGTGCTTAAGCTCAAAGGGTAACATGTGACCATTGGTGGTGGGACTGGCTTGTGCTCCATCCCTTAGGGACCAAAACTCTAAATGACATTTGGGAATTCTGTCTGCCCCTTTTGGAAGGTGGGACCACAGGAATGAAAATCCTAGCAGATGGTATTTTCAGACCAATTTTGTTTGTGTCATTCATAGCGAATAAAAAATAAACTATATACACTGTCATGCTAAACAACAGGCACCTAGATTGTACCCATGATACAAACGTATTTAGTGTGTAGCTAAATATGACTGGACAACAAAACTGGCAGATGAAATTACATGTCCGTAAGTGTAAAATAAAGCACACTGGAAAACCATCCCAATTAGACATACAAAATGATAGGGTCCAGAAATCTTGGATTCATTGTGGATAGTTTTTGAAAACATCTGCTCGATGTGCAGCAGCAGTCAAAAAAGCTAACACAATGTTTGGAACCATTAGGAAAGGGATAGGTGACACATAAAATATTATAATGCCACTAGGTAAATCCATGATATCCCCACACACACACACTGAGTATTGCGTGCCATTCTGATTGCCACATCTCAAAAAAGACATATTAGAATTGGAAGGGCAACAAAAATGTGTAGGGATATGGAACAGCTTCCAGATAAGGAGAGATTAAAAAGACTGGTACTGTTCAGTTTAGAAAGGAGACAACTAAGGGGGGATATGATGGCAGTCTATGAAACCATGAATGGTGTGGAGAAAGTGAATAAGGAAGTGTTATTTTCCCCTTCACATAACACAAGAACCAGAGGTCACTCAAAAAAATTAACAAACAGCAGACTTAGCACTTCCTTATGTTTATTTTTCTTCACACAACACACAGTCATCCTGTAGCAGGGGATGTTGTGAAGGCCACACGTTTTACTGGGGTTGAAACAAGAACTAGATAAGTTCCTTGAGGATAGGTCCATCAATGGCTATTAACCAAGATGCAACCTCATGCTCTGGGTGTCCCTAAGCCTCTCATTGCCAGATACTGGGACTGGATGACAGGGTATGGATCATGCGATAATTGCCCTGTTCTGTTCATTCCCTCTGAAGCATCTGGCACTGGCCACTGTTGAGGACAAAATACTGGGCTAGATGAACCATTCGTCTGACCCAGTATGGCCATTCTGATGTTCTTATGTTAGCCTGACCACATTCTATCACAGTTACTTTCCTAAATACTTGAGAAGTAAAGCACCATCACCTTTACTCTCAGATTCAGTGCAACCTCCTAGATTCAATGCAAATCACAAGGTATTAGATTATTTCATCTTAGTTACTACTGAATCTTGTAAGAAACCAATATAAAAGTATCTGATTCTCAATGAACCATAAATGTTTATATGCAAGTTTTGTGAGGCCAACACTTGTAAGAGACTACTGAAGCCAACAGCTTGTACAACCTACATTTTATTGTCCAGAAATAAATAAATAAAAAGCAGTACAGTTGGGAAACATCTACCTTGTACGGTTCACTGAAGAGGGAGTAACTGGTATTAAATGAACCATCTTCCTGCTGTGCCTCCTGATTTCTCCTCTCCCATTCTTTCCTCCGCAGAACATTTCTGTCTGGTTCATAGACACTGCGTCAAAGGAAAGAGAGAATTTTAAAAAAATTAAAGGGCAACACATAAACCAATGTTAATCTATTAACTGTGGTTCACAGACAGATGGCAAAGATAACAAGAACATGAATCAGATTAATGCCAATCTAATCAGTCAGTGGAAGCTCAGGTCTCTGGGTATGCCAGTGCTTTCTCACACAGAAAACAGATAATTAAATTCTTAAGGAAGCCAAAAACAAAAAACACATGGGGCAAGCTCTAGCCTGTACTGAGCTTCTCTGCCTGAAATGTGATGCAGAAAAGATCGAAGCAACCTTGACAGAGCACTGAGAGTTCTCTTAAGACACATGGTAATTACAGCTAAGAGTAAATAGAAATTATGAACATATTTCCACTTATGACATATCCTCAGTGTGTTATAAGAGAATGCTCCTTTTTTACACAACTGTGTTTCTGTAGTGATTCTTTCATTAACTAGCTCCCCAAAGAGCAGTTAAAACTACATGCTGTAGTGGTTTTCCTAGTTATGCTCCTTCTTCTTATCTCTGCTAATCAGTCAAGTCATGAAACTACTGCTGAATCAATTCCTTCTTCGAACTGATTTGACACCATCACAACTTCAGAGCATGAAAAAATGAATATTTGAATGATGGGGTCAGGGTGGGGGAAGGGGGCTGGGGATTAAATGGTATCACTGCATGAACCAATTGTGTCCTTTTTGGAAATAAACTAAAGGCCCCAGTATAGAAAGACAAACATCAAAAAAATTTCTAAAATATTATTTTAATATAAGAGGTCCAAGACATGAGGAACACTGTGTCCATATCACTTCCAAACAACATATATAGATTTGCAAACTTCAGTCTCTTAAGCTTCATCCTCATCACAAAACAAACCTAAATGCCTAAACAGTTTTACAAGTGTTTACAATTATTAGATTAAAAGGATGACTTAACATTTTGCTTTTTCCAGCTAATGATTTCCTCTTTTTTGTGATGTAGTTTTGTAAAGTGGAAAATACATTAGTGTCATGTAAGTGTATTGGCCATAAATAAAATAAAGCTTGTCTGTCTCACTAGCTGCCCAGTTAAGCAAAATGGACTTTAAATCATTTACCCAAGTGACTTGACTTACCATGCATCAGGGAAGACTGTTAAAATGCCCAAAGCTGTTAATTTTAAGATATGAGTGTACTTAAAACACCCAAGATATGTAGACACTGTCAGTATTTTAAAATAATTTCTTAGTAGTGTCTAAAGGACATTAAAATCCACGGTCCATTTTAAAGTTACTATACCATACGTCTGAGATAACCCAGTGTGGTAAATTGATAAGTGACTTCTAGCAGGAGGAAGGGGTGGAGTGGTGCGAGGGGCAGAGCGGGGGTGTGAAGAGGCATGGTGGGAGCTTGGGGGAAGGGGTGGATTGGGGCCTGAGCCTGGGACTGTGTGGGGATTGAGCAACCCCCGGGAAAGGAGGAAGCTGGTGCCTGTGGTACAGTATTTAATTACGTGATCACATACTATATTTCCCAGCCTGCTCTGGAGATGAATCAAGGTTGTGTACTGAAGACAGATAGTTCGCTGTAGGATCTCTACCTCATTTGTTGCAGAAGTTTAAAGGTGTGCACCTATTGATGGTACTGGTATGGGTGGGCCGAGGTCTTCCCAGAGCTGAACTGTTGACCCAGTTGACCAGAGTGGAGGAGGCTGCCAAACAGATGGCTTGGCAAGTTGCCACCCATACTAGGTCTCCCAGGTCCTGGGCCACGAGGAGCACGTCACTGGTATATGTAGACGGGACCACCCACAAGTCCGGCTCTTGAAGTACCAGCTCCATCATTCTCTTACAGAGGAAGGGGTCAATGGTGAGGGCATACAGTTGTTTGGAGGGCAGGCAGCCCTGATGCACCCCTCGACCGAAGGTGGTAGGTTTGGTCAAAGCCCAGTTGAGCTTCACCAGACACTCTGCAGCAGCTTATAGCTCCCGAAGAAACCCCACAGAGCAGGGACCAAAGCTGAATACCCACAGAGTGCCCAGGAGATAGCATTTGACAGTGTGGATCAAAGGTTTCTCCTGGAAGAGGGACAAGAGACCATGCCGTCCCAACTCCGCCCCCTCCCTGCCCCTATTGGATTCCTTCCCCAAATCCCTGCCCCAGCCCCGCCTCTTCCCCAAACACACCATGTTCCCCCTCCACCCCCTCCCCTCCCCAGCGCTTGCCGCTGCCACGAAACAGTTGTTTTATGGTGGCAAGCACTGGGAGCTAGGGGGAGAAGCGGGGAAGGCGCACTCAGGGAGGAGGCAGAGGTGAGCTGGGACGGGGTGGGGGAGCTGTCGGTGGGTGCAGAGCACCCACCAATTTTTCCCCGTGGGTGTTCCAGCCCTGGAGCACCCACAGAGTCAGCGTCTATGAGTGGATCACGTCTGCCAGCACGGATTTCAGCAACAGAGAGATGACCTTCGGTATGACTTTATAGTGCATGTTGAGGAGTGACACTGGTGCCAATTCTTCAGGTCATAGAGGTCCCCCTTTTGGGCATGCGGACACAGCTTGCATGCAGAACAAGGGAAGCACTCTGCTCTCTAAGGACTTGGCCCAGATGGTAGCAAGGTCCAGGCCAAGGATGTCCCAGAATGCACAGCAGAACTCCACGATCAGTCTGTATCATAATGCAGACACACCAGGAGACCAAATTAAGATTGCACAGGCAACCTTCATTCTGGCATCTCCTAATTTTTGAGAGCCTGACTTGACAACCTTGAGTGTAGTTTGTTGCATGTAATATAAAGTGGATTCTCTGTGGTCCCTGATAAGGGTTGCTAAGTTAACTTGGAGTAGTAGGAATCTCCTTACATTTTCACCTTGAGGTACCTTTCTTCCCATTTAGAAACTCTGGCCTTGAAATGCTTTATATATGGCATCTAGTCTGTAGACAGATGTTCAGGCAGACATCTCCTTTTGAGGCTGTTATACCCTAACCAGTTTCTAGAAAGTAAATGACGACATGAGTCTTCACTCTGGCACCCACAGATTAAAAAAAATCACCCATATGACATTCACTGCTAAAGCTGAGGGTCTTTTTTTCCTCCCCTTATCTGATGCAAAAAAAGTCAATAAAAATGTACCGTTTCTAGGTCTTTGAATGCCCATCTACACATCCTGAATTAGATATTGACTTAGCAGTGGAATTCATAACTTGCAACAATATAGAATGACTATGCAAATGACAAAGCAACATCATGATGACTAATATGCCATTTATAAACAGTACCTTAGAAACAGCTGCAAGTTGAAAAATATGTTCCTTTGTTAATGGCAGATGGCAAAATCTCTAGTATTTGTAAGACTGCTCTTTATTTTCAAGAACATTGCAAGAATCATATTTCCATGAACGTATGTCACCAAATGTATTTATTTATTTTGTTTCAAAGACAATAGGCCAACTGCTATAATTTTATTTATTGCAAACACTTTAGTTACCGAAAAATGAGTCTAAGAGTTTCCTTTTTTAAAAAAAAACAAACTTTCATCATCATCATGTTCCCATTACGCCTCTGGTGTTTAGGGCAGCGACGAAGCTCCTCACTTTGTAATTTTTTTTTAAATGTACATATACCTATCTAGGCATTTATACTATGTTCATCTCCCTGATATCTGAGCCATATGGCCCAGATTCTTAAACATTTCAAGACTTTTCCCATATGCATCCCAAAAATATACTGATGCAGCTTTTTGAGTATAGGCCAAAATGCCTAGGCAGTTAGGCAAAACTGGACAACCAAACAGCAGACAATCCTCAAAACTTTAAAATTGGTTTATTCTACATTATACACTGAAGTCAAACACTAAAAGGATAGGTTTAAATGGTTTTCATAGACAGTAAGTGGTTATTTTTAAAATGTATACATTCTGAATTCATGTGTAAAAGATATTAATTGGCACATGAGTTGCAATCCAAATGTATGCAGTACTGACATCTATATATGAATGAATGAAAGTTGCATTTATATAATGCTTATATTATCCTATGCAGTGTCATTGTAACACTGTCGGTCCCAAGATATTAGAGAGACAAGGTGGGTGAGATATCTTTTACTGGACCAACTTTGAAAGCTTTTCTCTCTCTCTCTCACCAACAGAAGTTGGTCCACTAAAAATACTACCTCACCCACTTTATCTCTATATTATCCTAGGTATTTCAATCTGTTTTATAAACACATTTAGATTTATTTCAGCTCTGCCAAAGCACATACTAAAAGAGGAAAATTTACCTGTTAATTATGTAATACCATTTCATGCTCAATGGATTATTAGCACACCATCATTACTATGGCTATAGTGGCTTTACATGGCTTTCTTCCCTTCTCCAGTTCCCCCACCCACCCCAATATATACATTTCCCGTGTAACAGTCTAAACCATGGAGTTCCCAGGTACTTTGCTGCTCAGACATCTAGAGAATGCCAAACTTCTCCCTCTAAGAAGGAAAACAGGATCAAAACTAAGAAGGATCATCTCCTGGAATTACATGGAAACTTTTCAGAATAAAGGCTAGCAACCATTTCTGGACAACCCAGTCTTTAAGGAAAATCAGGAATTGAGACTTGTATTAGAGTGGTTAGTTCACTGATTCCTCTAGCTAATACTATGACTATGAAACATTAACTTGATAATTAAAAATAAAAAGATTTACATAAACATCTATGGACATTAGACAACGTACAGTGGACATTATAAGAGGCATAGATAGATTGAAACTTCTCTTCAGGATTGTACTATTGAAGCATGTGCCCTAACTGGAAAGAATTAAAGATAGATGCCTGGATTCCCAGGAATTTGAAAGAAAACCCTTTGCAACACCAAGCCTTCCTAAAAAAAACTTCACAATACTGACAGGAGCACTCATGGGCTGTCTTTTGCTTGTCTTGACACCAGAAGGAACATTTTTTCCCCAAGTTCTATAGATACGGACAACTCATGAGAAGGCTTAAATGGGTAGCCATAACCTTATCTGA